AAACAAAAATTGAATAATAATGTATATGCAAATTTTAAAAATTTTATTAAAGTCTTAGAAGAAAAATTAAAAAATGTTTACATTTCAATAGTAAACATTAAATTTTCCATTAGCATTAAAAAAAAAAAAAAATTATTCCGTTAATCATAAAAAAGAAATTTAAGTAACAATTTGAAAATCATAAATGAAAATAGCCGAAAACAAATTGCATTTTTGAGTAAAGTTTCTACTATTACGGAATGAGAATAGAGTATTACGCAATCGGCCTATGCCGAGAGCTGAGGGTTGCTTTAATTTTGTTTGTTGTTTTTTACTTTTATTTTGTTACCCACCTTTTTCTCCTATACAATTCAATAAATTATTGCATTTGATATGTTGGTCCATTGTTTCATTATTCGTTCCTAAAAAATTCTTGGTAGTTCTTCTTCTTTTTTACATTTTTTTTTTGTTTTGATTAAATTTTATCGCATTCAGCTGTGTTCGTGTGGCTTTGTGTGAGTGTGTTTGTGTGTGTGTGTGGTCTGTAAAATAAAAGTTAAATAAAGTTATTGTTGTTGTTGGTTGTTGCTGTAGTTGTAGTTGTAGTTGTAGTTGTTTTTGTCGGCCAAACGTCATCCAATTGAATCGATTCCTAATCCTAATCCGAATCGGCATCCGTATCCGAATTACTAAAGATAATAGTCGCCCGTTATGGGTAGCGTAGTAGTTGTTGTTGGAGAAGTAGAAGTAGTAGTAGAAGAAGAAGAAGAAGAAGTAGAAGAAGAAGAAGATGATGAAGATATCGCTGCTGCTGCTGTTGCTGCTGCTGTTGCTGCTGTTGCTGCTGCTGTTGCTGTTGCTGCTGCCGTCATAAATGACTATCAGTATCCGAATCCCGCTGAGCCGTGTCCCGTCATTGATGGTGTTACACTACTAACTATACCTAATTGTGTGGCTGTATTATTTGATTGTCAGTGTTGTTGAGCGGCAAATTTCATACGTTTTTGTTTTTGGCGTTGATTGCAGAACCAGACGCGCACCACGTTTTTCTTCAAATCCAGCTTTTCGGCAATGGCAGCGATTTTCTCACCGGACGGCCTCGGCTGGACGGCGAAGTAGGCTTCCAGGGAACGCTTTTCAGGTGCCGCAATGGAAGTCCTTTTTCTTGAAAAAAGACTCGATATAGATTACTTTAGAAATGGGCCCTAACTTTGGAAAATATGTGACTGAGCTACAGAGTTTCATGTTGTTTTTCTTTTTTTCAGATCTTGATTGGAATTTTCATAAATTTGTTTTCTCATTTGATTTAATTTTTATTGCCTTGGGTTATTTTTTTTTTATATATATTTTTTTCTGGTTGCCAAATTAAACGCGCTGCCAATTCAGTGGTGGTTGCAAAGGTGTGTGCTGTGTGTGTGTGAATGGATGTGTGTGCGTGTGAGTGAGTGGGTGGGTGGGGGGTGGTGTACATGGCTGTGGCGCTGGGTATTATTACCGTTGGTAATCAAAACACTTTCTACCTTTTCTTTTCGCCCGCCGGCAGCACGCTGGGCGCATCCGGATCCCGTCGCTTGTTTTTCGCCTGCGCCTCTGCCTCCTCCAGCCACGCCTGCAATATGGGCTTAAGGGCGATCATATTGTTGTGGGACAGCGTCAGGCTCTCGAAGCGGCAGATTGTGCTCTGCGACAGCGCCCCGACACCAGGTAACTTGAGATTGGCCAACGCTTTGCCCACATCCGCCTGTGTGACACCTGTGCAGAGATCAAAAGTAGCAGAACAAAGAAAACACTTTACAACACTGTTTCTGTTTTGTGCGGAATGACTTTCTCAAATATACATATATAGTGATTGCCTCAAGTGGGAACAACGGTAGTATCTAATTTTAGCATTTTTATTTACCTAATCTATATAAGACTCTAGTTGTTTCTTATTCCTATCTGTTCTGAAAATATTTATATGTATGTATATAATTCTAGTCGTATCTTTTCCTGTCTATATAAAAGTAGCTCTGTTTGTTGTCAGTGAGCGTCTAGTATCAAGGTCTTTTTTGCCTCCTTTCTAGATTCAATTGATTTCGGGTTCTTGTTTCATTTTTTAAACATTTCTATTTCTATCTATTGAGTTATTTGCTTGAAGCTTGTCTTTCTTCAATTTTAGTTTGTATTATAATCTAGTTTCAGCTCTATTTTTAGATAATGCTTCAGTTGTCTCATTATTATTTTAGTCCAGTTATAAACTCCTACAGATTATTGTTATATTTTGTATCGTATAGGAATAGCTTACTGTAATATCTCAAGACTCTAAAAAGTATGCTATGTATCTATGTATCTATGTATCTATGTATCTATGTATCTATGTATCTATGTATCTATGTATCTATGTATCTATGTATCTATGTATCTATGTATCTATGTATCTATGTATCTATGTATCTATGTATCTATGTATCTATGTATCTATGTATCTATGTATCTATGTATCTATGTATCTATGTATCTATGTATCTATGTATCTATGTATCTATGTATCTATGTATCTATGTATCTATGTATCTATGTATCTATGTATCTATGTATCTATGTATCTATGTATCTATGTANCCTGTCTATATAAAAGTAGCTCTGTTTGTTGTCAGTGAGCGTCTAGTATCAAGGTCTTTTTTGCCTCCTTTCTAGATTCAATTGATTTCGGGTTCTTGTTTCATTTTTTAAACATTTCTATTTCTATCTATTGAGTTATTTGCTTGAAGCTTGTCTTTCTTCAATTTTAGTTTGTATTATAATCTAGTTTCAGCTCTATTTTTAGATAATGCTTCAGTTGTCTCATTATTATTTTAGTCCAGTTATAAACTCCTACAGATTATTGTTATATTTTGTATCGTATAGGAATAGCTTACTGTAATATCTCAAGACTCTAAAAAGTATGCTATGTATCTATGTATCTATGTATCTATGTATCTATGTATCTATGTATCTATGTATTTATGTATCTATGTATCTATGTATCTATGTATCTATGTATCTATGTATCTATGTATCTATGTATCTATGTATCTATGTATCTATGTATCTATGTATCTATGTATCTATGTATCTATTGTATGTATTTACCTACATATACATTTATCATTTATCTGTCTACCTATCTATCTATCCATCTATCCATTTTTCTATCCATCTATCCTTAAACTGACTTACCCAGCTTAATGCGGCGCTGCTTGAATCGTTCCGCAAACGCTTCCAGCTCGCGCGGATCGGTGTCTGTGTCGGGATGCAGGCCAGCGGCTGCTACGGCCGCCGTTATGACAGGATGATGTACCGCTGAGTGTCCATGGTGCCCTATTGAGCAGCACAGGATATGACATATATATATATAGATATGTATATATATATGCATATGGGATGGATGCACTTACCCGCCGTGTGGCCACTTAACGTGCCCGGATGGTGGTGGCTCATCATGTGATTCATACTGTGATAGGAACCGTGCAGGTGCTGATGTGTGGGCGTTAATGGTGACTCCGATATGGGGGCTAACGTTGTCATCGAGCCCGTCGGGTCCAGCATGTCCAGCTGATCCATTGAATGGTGCATCTGCAAAAGGAATGGGAGATAAAGAGATTAGATTAGAAATAAAGAGATTACCAGGGATTTAAATATAGCTGCAATTGTTGTTCCGTGATCTATTGAGCTTAGTTTGATTGGAGTTGCAGACCAATAGATATAAGTGATGAGTGAAAGAACTACCTGACAGAATTATTCCTGATCAAGCTTAATATGGAAGGTGGTACTCAGATTCTACAACTTCCGTTCCCGTATTATGTTTATATATACTATATTCGATATATTGGCAATACATATAATATATTTTCAATAAAATAGCTCTGTTTCCATAGCAATTCAATCATGTTTTAGCAATCAGTTATATCAGTTATATAACCCCTTCATCTCACCTAAGTTTTGATTCCAGGGTATCTGTGTCGTCTAGCATTTTTGCGTGAATGCACTTAAACAATGCTTGCTTAACACATAAATTAAATATTAAAAATGTGCCTAAAACAAATTTCAGCATTCAATCATAATCTCAGTTTTATTTGCACAAAAGTTGTATGCAGCCAGAGAGCGAGAGAGAGAGAGAGAGGGAGTGAGCAAGAGAGGCAGAGAGTGAACGATGTTATATTAAATAAATCGACAGGGCTCACAGAGCTCAAATCTGGATGTCAAATTGATAGAGCTCAAATTGATGGATCCAGCTTGGCCAGGTGCAGGTCTGTTTGGTGGCGCCTCAGCTTATGGCCCATTCAAGTAAATGGCTTAAACACAAGCCTGCGAAATGTGTCTTGATAATTAAGTCTTTGAGCGGCTAACATAAAAATGGCATTTAAAGTTCAAAACTTTGTGTATTAAAATGGCTGTGTATGTGTGTGTGTGTGTGTGCGGGTGTGCGTGTGCGGACAACGGCTTGCTTCTAATTAAAGTCCAGGGAGAAACCCCTTTCTGCCTTATAGCAACAGCAGCAACAATGATGTAAAAAGAAAATAAAAATAACTGGAAACTTGAGCAAAACTCAACTTGAAAAACTGGCGCAACTTTTTTGGGCAGCAGCAGGCTGAGAGTGGGCACTTGTTACGAA